TGAAGGGGCCCAAGGTGGAAGTGAAAGGCGCCAAAGGAGATCTCGGTGGCACCAAGCTGGAGGTATGCCTGCCTGGCGCCGAGGTGGACCTGCAGGCCATCAGCACCAAGCTAGAGGGCGAGGTGTGCGCCAAAGACAGCAAGTTCCAGATGCCCAAGTTCAAGATGCCCTCCGGTGTGATGACTCCTGGCAAGTCCACTGAGGCCTCACTGGAGGTGTCCACACCCAAGCTGCATGCCGATGTGTCCTTGCCTGCCATCCAAGTAGACCTGAAGACCCCTGAGGTCAGTGCTCCACTGCCCTCCACTGACAGTGATTTGTGGGCCAGGCAGTTGGGCATTCAAATACCCGAGGGAGCCCTGCATGAGGAAAAACTGTCCATCACTGACTCAAGAGCCGGCCTGAAGGGCCACCTGCCCAAGGTACAGATGCCCAGCATCAAGTTGCCCAAAGTAGAGCTAAAGGGGCGCAAGGCAGACGTGAGAGACACTAAAGGTGATCTCAGTGGTCACGAACTGGAAATGTCAATGCCAGGTGCTGAGATGGACCTGCAGGCCCCCAAGGCCAAGCAGGAGGCTGAGATATCAGTAAAAGACAGCAAGTTCAAGATGCCCAAGTTCAAGATGCCTTCCTTTGGCATGACGGTGCCTGAAAAGACCATCGAGGGCTCGATGGAGGTGTCCACAACGAAGCTGGTGGCCTATGTGTCTCTGCCCGCTGTTCAAGGAGACCTGAAGATCCCTGAAGCCAGCGCTCCTCTGCCTTCTGCTGACACTGACCTGCAGGCTGGGCAGCTGGGCATTCAAATACCCGAGGGAGCTGGGACTGAGGTGGAACTGTCCAACACGGGTGCTGGTGCTGGCCTGAAAGGCCACGTGCCCAAGATGCAGATGCCCAGCATCGAGAAGCCCAAAGTAGAACTAAAGGGCACCAAGATGGACGTGAAAAGCTCCAAGGAAAAGCTCAGAGGCTCCGAGCTGGGAGTGTCGCTGCCAGGCAC